GAGGTGGAGTTCAAGATGACGGTCGATACCATGTTTGATGCTTAAGTGATAAAAGTTTCATTAATTGAACCATTTGAAATATGTAAAAATTGTGTCCATATAACAAAGTACTCTATTACATAAATTGTGAATGTATTCCTAGAATTAAAAGATGCTGTGAAAAATATCCTTTGTCAGTAATATACTTGATAACTGTTGGTGCCATATTGAGCCCCATTTTGAATATGATGAGGATGAAATAAAATGCAGTTATTTTTTTTCCAAGAACTATAAATATACTCCATTACAATGTTCCGGTGATATATCAAGTTTCTCGATCAGACTTTAAATAGTGATTTTTACAAATACATTATTAAGCTTATCAACACACTTAAGTTTTTTTGTAAGTTCCGTACAACCGTTCGGCAGAGGATTTTTTATGGGAAATCTTACATACTTCTTTAGGTAGGGCAAACACGAATTTTATAATGCTTAAATAATGGTATCAGAGAAATGTAAGATGCTTGTTACCTGAATAAAGAAGCAATAAATTTGAAATAATTTGTCATAAAAGTAGCATAATGTAGACATCCATCTAAAATACTAATTCACTATAACTGTACTCATTGAACATATGAACAGATGAAAAGATCAGGTTCAGGTAATTGGTCAATGAGTTAAGGCCTCAACAGACGGTAAGATTTATATGTACAACACTAATTAGAGATATGATGTACAATACAACACTTTCATTCAGACAGGAATTCTGCATTGTAGGAATCATCAGGTTTCCCATAAAAACAGTTCCATCCCAATTGATTCCTTACATACTTTACTAAAAATATATTTTTCTCCATGAGTAATGATTGAAACACTTCCATTTTCTAAAAAAAAGTCTATAATTGTCACAGGGCGAGATTAATGTGCAGCCTGACCGAGACTCGAACCTGGGACCCTCGGAATACCGTACTGCGCCTCTACTGACTGAGCTATCCAGCCGCTTACAAACTACCTTTACTGATTAGTGAACAGTTCAATACTGTGACACAATCATTTTTTTTCTTAATAATTTGGGATTCGAACATACCAAAACTTTGGGTCTCCTGAAGAGATCTTCAACACCATTTTTATCCCATTGTACTACATGTAAAGTTATGTTTAAGTTTCAAGTTAATTCTTCTGGAATTTCATTCATTAAACAAATAATCAGGGGATAATTGGGAAATATGTAATCTGTCGGAGGTCTATACCAAAAGTATTAAGAGATAGAACATGTCCTATTCTGTTTATCTAGTATTCAAGAAATAGTAGCCTTCACACAGTAAGATTTCCTTGTACATCTGAGTTTTAATTGATGTTGTACTTTAAAGTCATACCGTCTGTTGAGGCCCCTTAACTCTTTGGATACTATAGAAGTACACCAAAATTTAAAAGCTTTTAAGAAACACAAGTAAAAGCATATTGGGCCTTTATAACGTTATTTTTATAATCTCGTGGGGTCGAAACTCCACCATTCCCTCTATATCCCCCCAGTGAGAACTTTACATTATTATGAAGTTCCGCTCTTAATATGTGACTACTTAAAAAGTTTATGATATTTTTGAGTACTGCCTATATACGGACTACTTCTTAAGGCCGCATCTACATCTAGTCAAGTTTCTTAAATATCATATTTAAATAAGCTAAGTAAATGGCCCTTTCAACATATTATCAGGCACATTTTTACTGAAATCTCTTATTAAGATTTCCCAGAATATATACCTTTGTCTCTGTTAAGACTATCATATTTCTATAAAATATGTAAATAAAATGAATATGAGCAAACTTCATAAAGACTACCCAAGAATGCTACAGACAAAATTTGGTGATAATCCATCACTTAGTTCTGTAGAAAAAGATGTTTAAAGATTTTTCTATTTTTAGCTCTAGAGACCCCTAAAAGGGGCCAATTAAATTAAAATGAGCAAATTTGATACAATACTACCTAATAATGCTACAGACAGTTTTTGGGGATTATCTATCATTTAATTTAGTAGTAGAAGATGTTTAAAGTTTTTTTTTTTTGCTCTGTTGACCCCTAAAAGGGGCCAATTGAAATGGCATGAGCAAATTTAAGTGTGACTTTCATAAGGATGCTACATACCAAATTTGAGATGAATCTGGCCAGTAATTTCAGAGAAGAAGATGATTGTTGACACATGACGACGGACGCCGGACTATCCCCCTTTGATGCTTATAGCTCAACCTAAACCTTCGGTTCTGGTGAGCTAAAAAACAGGAAAATGATGCAAATAGCTAAAAGCAATGGAGTACGTAAAAGGTGTACACTCTTTTAAAATAAATGAAAAATGTGAGAAAAAAATATTTTGAGCCTATTGATTGATACAAATTCTTTATTTGATGAAAGTTCTTTACTAACTGATAAAGATCAGTTAAAATCCCATTAAAAAATTTAAAAATCCATTTAATATTTTACTATACTTCAGTGCGCATGTTTTGCTTGATTTTTGTTTACCATTGGCTTTGAATACCATATATTATTTAAAACATCATGAAAATTCATTTTTATTGATTGAATTTTTATGACCCCAAAGTGTGGTCGTTTGTCTGATGTAAAAAAATGCATATGTACCTGTGTAACGCACTTTGGGGTCAAAATTGGACCCCAAAGTGCCTAACGCACTCTTGGGCGGACCCCAAAGTAAGTAACGTACTTTGGGGTTGAACCCCAAAGTGCGTTGGACCCCGAAGTGCGGTGTTACAAAGCGGTATCGATGAGTGTCCTCATTGTTTATGTATTTTATCGTCTCTACCTTAATTCTTTTGATTTATTTTAACAATAAAATGAAACGATTTATTTTAAAAATAACATATTTAACCTTTAGAAAACGCCGCTTTAATTAACTAATTTTTTACGTATGCTAGATTAGAATAAACATTTTGCAAAACATTTTATTTTATTCTAGCTGGATGATAATGGACAGACGTGTGCGAAAAATGATTCGGCATGCTCAACAATAGGTACGTTTTTTTGTATTTTTAATTGCATTTTATGCGTCAACCTTTTTTCCGGCCCCATGCAGAAGTTAAGTATGGGGCTAGCTGGTTAAAACGATGATGGGTTAGGAATGAGGCGACACCCAGGTCAGTAAAATCCTTGGTTCTGTTAAATTTTCTCTTATTTTTATCGGTCAAAGAAACCTGGAATAAATCAAAGTGCTGGAAGCACTGGATGGGACGATATGAAACGGAAATTAAGTAAATATTGTCACACATGGCCAAACATCGGTCATGTTGCATCAAGATTTTTCTCAATTTACAAAGGGCTGTAATATTCTATGCCGGTGTTTTATAGGGCTTGGATAGTGACTTCCAATTATGGTTTTAAGACAAGTATATGGTTTCATGTAAATATTTTCAGTTTAATTTTTCGGAAGCTGATGTCATACATGTATGTTAAAGTATCAAATAAATACCACCAGTACATACATGTCGTTCTGAAGCTTGATGTTGCTTGCAAAACTATAACTGAGATGTTTCTAACTCTTTACAAAAGGCAATTTATTCAGTGTAATATATGTTAGATCTCCAATTTTGATCCCTAAACCATATACATTTATATTTGGTTTCAAATTAATGCCTTCTGTTTTTCTGTATAAATTGATGTTACATACTAAGCCTTAACCAGAATTTTCCGAGCTCACAAAGGGCTTTTTATTCTCAAAAATCATTATTTAAACATTATTTAATTCATGTTTGCCCTTTCTAAAGAAGTAAAAACTTACTTGTTTCTGACGCTTAATTGTGCCTTAAAGGCAAATTTCATTCGTTGAAATAAACTCGGATTAAAGAGATCATCAATTTTGGCAAAATTGAATAATTAGTCTCTGTTTCTTTTTATGCGGACTAAATTTATTATCCAAAGTATTTTTATATCATGATATTGAAATTAGACGTGGAATAGTCTAAGTATGTGCTTCCGATTCATTTCCGGCGGTTTTCATGTTTGTACTATCCTTAGTTTTCCTTAGGCTGTTAGGCTGCTAACTTCACAAATTTCGAAGCGTTAGAATAAAAAAAGAAAGTTCAATTTCTTAAAAAATAAAAATCACGATATTGAAAAAAGGCGTGGAATGATCTAAAGAAGTACTACTGATGCATTTCCAACCGTTTTCATGTTTGTACTATTCTTCGTTTTCTTTAGGCTGCAAGGCTGCCAGGCTGCCAACTTCATGAACATATCATAACATTGTTTTCAGTATTGATCTGCTTTGAATATGCTCACTCACTTGACATATAATGATGCTGAATCTGTTTTAAATAGCAGGATGCCAGTACCCTAAAATTCCGAATGGGAAAGCAGAGGGGAACATGTTTTCAATTGGAAGTACACAAACAATTAATTGTGACACTGGTTACGTAATCCATGGCAACGACACAATTAAATGTATGGAGAACGGAAACTGGACTTCATTGCCAGAATGCCGGGAAGGTAAGACCTTAATATACCCTCCTTTAATCACTAAATTGAATTAAGTGATACATACAATCGATTTACCCTGGGGTATCATCAGTAAGTCTCCTTACGCGCGGTCTGATCAGGATCCATGTTGTTCGCTTACAAACCCTATAACAAGTAGAGAAACAGATAGCGAACAGCATGGATCCTGATCAGACTGTCTGTCAAAAATGCATGTGTTCGAACATTATATGCTGGTAATAGTGACTTGAATTACCAACTTCCAGCTGTAAAATAGTTGGGAAACTATATATGTAGTTCGTTATTCGAATATCCAACTACCAACTACTTACCTACTTACCAAAGTGACGCTAATTGTTAAATGCCCGTTATTCCCCAGAAATGCTTTTAATTTTGATCTTTAAAATATTTTTAATACGGGTTTATCAATTTCTGCAAATTAAATTATTCGTTTTCATTTGAACTAAATTTTATTAGTCAAAGTATTTGAATACGCTTAGTCACTTGATATATACTGATGCTGAATCTGTTTTAATTGGCAGGATGCCAGTACCCTAAAATTCCGAATGGGACCCTAGTGGGGAACATGTTTTCAATTGGAAGTACACAAACAATTAATTGTGACACTGGTTTCGTTATCCATGGCAATGATACAATTAAATGTATGGAGAACGGAACATGGTTTTCATTGCCAAAATGTTTGAAAGGTAAGACCTTAATATACCCCCCTTTAAACACTAAATTTAATTAATTGATACATACAATAGATGTGCCTGGGGTATCATCAGTAAGTCTCATTATTGTAAGTAAAATGTGCTTGTTTACGTAAAGCACGTGACAATTTGTAAATATCATGTACAGGTGACATATGTTTACGGTAACATAGGGTCATCACTAATTGTATTTGCTAATTGTTCGTTATATTTTTCATTATTTGAATGATAAACATATTCCATGTCCAAGCTTTTATCTTTGCCGATTTTAATGGTATATTAAATATAGAGAAAGAAAGAATCTAGTAAAACGGCAAAATGGCATCTCGAGTAGGCACTGAATCAAAACGAGTTTGCAAATTTCAATTTTAAAAATTTTAAAAATAGAAAAAAAAGAAAGAAATAGTTCTCCCAAAGAACGTCCAAACCGGCTAAATTGAAATTGTTGCTTGCTCGGTTTGATTGAGCCTGTTCCTGGACGATACTGGAAAATTTCAGTTACCGTCCAAGCCCCTCAGCACCGGCTTAAACAATGTTTTCAATGCTCTTGAAGTAACTCCGCCTGTCAAGATTTTGTTTTGTTTTTTTACATTATTTTATCATTATGCATGTTAGTACATCATAAGGCATATTATAGCATACTGACAAATGTGAAATATCATGCCATCAAATGAGACAAACTATTTCAAGGAAAACAAAATTGAGATAAACGTACATGTACTAAGATTTTAAGACAGTAGATAGATTCAAGATGCAAGTAATGATTTATATGTTTTGTGTGATAAATGATAAATCATGCAAATTGATTATCATGGAAAAATAATGAGACTAAAACATTGGGTAATTTAAAATATGCTTGAAAGGAATAAAGATATATCTAATTAAATATTCTAACTAAAAATCTAAAAGCGGCGAAATTATTTTATTTCCATAAGCTTTTAGAAGTTCTTTGAAAGAAGTTCTTTGAAGTTTCAAGAAAAAAGTTCTTTGTTTTAACACACATAAATATTGTACAAAATAATATAATGCAGTTTTGAGAAGGTAGGGTTTTAACCGTTTAGTTTTAATTTCGAGATTAAAAAAAAAAACAACAACAAAACAAAAACAAAAACACAAGAAAACATCACAGTGGGCTTGTATACATTTTAAAATTAAATTCAATAAGTTGAATGCGTTTTTATAAAAAGAACGAAAAATGCCATGGCAAAGTACCAGTTTGCCATGGTAAAGTACACGGCAAATACAAGCTTTGCATGCATTTTTATAAAAAGCTAGGAAAGATAGAAAAGAAAAACGAAACACATTAACTTTTAATGTATTAAATATATTAAATAATGTAACAATTTTAGATAGTTTTCTTTTTTTAAAGCGCGTACACAATATGGATTGAATTTGCAAAAACTGCCATGAAAAAAAAACCGGCAGTTATTTTTTGCAATTATGTTGTGAATACGCCATTTTGCTTTTAATGAATTACAACGATACAGGTACTTTGGAATAAATCTTTTTCAAGATAAGAATAAAATGAATGAATGAATGAATGAATGAATATATAAATAAATAAATGGATAAATAGATGGATGGATAAATGAATGAATGAATGAATGAATGAATGATTGAATGTATGGATGTATGTATGGATGGATGGATGGATGAATAAATAAAGTATTTGTAAACTGCAGATAGCAGAGATAACTTTAATATACTCTTTAAATTAGAGATACTGTCTTAAAAATTTCTATTTGAACGTTAATTATATTCTTTTATATGAACTTAATCAACATACAAAATCCTGCATTAAAATTATTTTTGTTCATAGTACGAGAATGTACGGAGTTGAAGATACCTAATGCTACTGTAACGGTGAATACAACGCATGCTAGTGTGACGTGTGTTACCGGCTTTGTATCCAACAAGACGAAAGACTTCAACCAAATCATAACGACAGAAACATTTAAATGTGACGAACAAGGAAACTGGTCTCCAAATATGGAATGTACTCACTATAACAGTACGTATGTATGATATATGAAAGAACTTATTGTGGTATATATTATAGAATTAGCTGTACAGATTTTGACAGGTCCTAATTGTAATAAATCAAATTTATTTAATTTTAATTTTCATAAACTAACATTAGCCTGCCTGCCTATATCAATGTTATAAAAACAGTAACAATTTTCACCCACCAAACCGTCCTCGATTTCATAAACAGGCATTTGTCTTTCTGTTTTAATCATTGCTACTTAGACGCGTTTTATTAAGCAATTGAAAATAATATTGACTATGCGCCCTGTCGTGCTAGGTGTCCTGTTGGGCGGTGTCCTGCTGGGCTCCTTGCTGATGGTCCTGTATTGGTGGAGGGGGTGCATTCATTGAGTGCCGCCCTTCCTTGATGATCTTGATTTTTTTCATATTTTACATAATCAGCATGTATGCTTTAAAGTAAAAGCATTAATGATTAAAATATTTTATAACAGAAGCTGCAAAGCGGAAGCTAGAAAGCAAACTACATGTACTACAGATAAGCTAAAAAATCACAAGTAACAAAATCAAAATCAAAACTGAAATGATTGTCATGTATTGAGTACATTAAACAAGAGGGCCGTGATATCCCTGAGTCGCTCACCAGAAACAACTGCTTTTCAGTGTTGGGATGTCAATATATTCTAATTTTACATTTGAGCATAGAATATGTTTAAACAATTATTTGAAGAAATGCCTTGACCTGGGGCATTTAAGCTTTAGCTTAAACGGGGCTAATCAAATTAATATGAGCAAACTTGATAGAAGACTACCTAAGTATGCTACAAAGTTTAGTGATCATCTATCAATTATTTTCAGTAGGAAATAATGTTCGAAGGTTTTTTTCTATTTTTAAGTTTGCTGATCATCCGTCAATTTGTTCAAAAGTAGAAGATGTTTAAAGGTTTTTTCTATTTTTATCTTTAGCGGCCCCTTAAAGAGGCCAATCAAATTCATATGAGCAAACTTGATAAAAGATTACCCAAGAATGCTACGGACAAAGTTTGGTGATAATCCATCCATTAGTTCAGTAGAAGAAGGTGTTTAAAGGTTTTTCTATTTTTAGCCCTAGAGACCCATAAAAGGGGCCAATCAAATAAATATGAGCAAACTTGATAAAAGACTAATCAAGAATGCTACAGACAAAGTTTGGTGATCATCCATCCATTAGTTCTGTAGAAGAAGATGTTTTTCTATTTTTAGCTCTGCTGACCCCATAAGGGGCCAATTGGAATGACATAAGCAAATTCAAGTGTGACTGTCACAAGAATGCTACCGACCAAATTTGAAGTAAACCTGCTTAGTAGTTTCAGAGAAGAAGACGATTGTCGACGCATGACGACGGACGCCGGAGCATCCCCCTTTGATACTAATAGCTCACACTGAGCCTTCGGCTCTGGTTAGCTTAAAAGGGGGAAAAATCAATAACAACAAAAAATATAAAGAATGTTGCCCTGCACAAATATCCTCTATATATCTACAGATATAAAGAATATTGCCCTGCACAAAAATCCTCTTTATATCTACAGATATAAAGAATATTGCCCTGCACAAATATCCTCTTTATATCTACAGATATAAAGAATGTCGCCCTGTACAAATATCCTCTATATATCTACAGATATAAAGAACGTTACCCTGTACAAATATTTTTATATATCTACATATAAAAAGAATGTTGCCCTGCACAAATTTCCTTATATATCTACAGATATAAAGAATGTTGCCTTGCACAAAAACGTTACACACAATTCAACATTTGAATGTAAAGATGCCGGAATTGCTACAGATGGGAAATGGGATTGTAAAAAGTACCGTGGCGATCACTGCTCTCAAAGATCACCAATAAAAACGTACAACGCTTGGTGGGAAGTCGATTTATGTAATTTTTATTCTGTCAAAAGGGTTTCCATATTAGATAAAGGTAAGCTATTTTTAAAAGATGTGTAGATAAAAAACTGGACAAAGGAAATAATTTTAGCTTTAAAAAGAAAAAAATCTCTACAAACAAAAGATGTAAATTCTGAAGTCAGAACAAATAAATATATCTCATGAATTTGACGATAATTGCGCAAAAATGTATCTATATTTATTATTAGATTCCAGTTTTCATTAGATGATAGTCTGTACCATTTTAATCTATCCACAATGAAACCGGCTAGATAAAACCGTTTGTAAAAAGCAAACAAACAGTCCATAACACTCCTAAATAGCGATACTCTGTTATTATGGCCGTTTCACTTTTTCATACAAAATATCAACAAGTTTAATTTGGGTCTTTGGACCGCCAGGCCGCCAACTTCAAGCCACTAGGCTGCCAGGCTGCAAGGCCGCTAACTTCAAGCCGCTTGGTCGTCAGACTGCTAGACAGGCAACTTCAAGCGCCAGGTCGTCAGCCTGCAAGACAGGCAACTTCAAGCCGCTAGGTCGTCAGGCTGCTAGACAGGCACTTTCAAGCCGCTAGATCGTCAGGCTGCTAGACAGGCAACTTCAAGCGCTAGATCGTCAGGCTGCTAGACAGGCAACTTCAAGCGCTAGGTCGTCAGGCTGCAAAGCCGCTAACTTCAAGCGCTAGGTCGTCAGGCTGCAAGGCCGCTAACTTCAAGCCGCTTGGTTATCAGGCTGCTAGACAGGAAACTTCAAGCCGCTAGATCGTCAGGCTGCTAGACAGGCAACTTCAAGCGCTAGGTCGTCCGGCTGCTAGACAGGCAACTTCAAGCGCTAGGTCATCAGGCTGCATTGATTGATTGATTGATTTTCTTTAGACCGACCGGTCAAGAATAACCTACGAAAGTGCAAGCACTTATTTCCAGTAGGGTCCTTACCTCAGCAGACACTAGAGACAGCTATGAGATACAAAGAAATCCGGGAACCAGGTCCTAGCTCTTATTGAATAGATTCCTTGGTTCTTTTACATGCCCAGTGTATAGCACTGATACATGCGAGGATTACCTGGGTTTCGTACCAGTAAACCTCTAGTTAGGTGGGAAACACTGAAAGTGTATCTGAAAATCCCAAGGGTGTTACCCAGGATCGAACCCGGAACCTGAGGAGTGACAGTCAGTGGTCTAACCAACTGAGCTATCGCGCCACCTTAGCTTCAAGCCGCTTGGTCGTCAGGCTGCTAGACAGGCATATTCAAGCGCTAGGTCGTCAGGCTGCAAAACAGTTGCTAGTCGTGCCTGTTTTACATGCCATTAAGATAAGCCGATTCCCAGAAAATCTTCATTAGACAACCATCTATATATGCTTATCTACAAATAATTAAAACAAGTGCCGGAAAAAAGTCACAATGTCATATAAATAAAACAAAAAACAGTCCATGAGTTAACTTATTTAATTATTTGCCAACCGGGTTCTCTTATGATCATCAGAGCAAATATATATATATTTTTCGTGCGATTTTTCTATGTATATTTTCTCGCTCATGACTTTCTCTATATATATCTATATCAAACATTTTTTTTATTGACTAAATTGACTATATAGATCCGAAGGCATGCTGGTTACTACTTTTTGTTCGTTTGTTTGCTTGTTTGCGTGCGTGCGTATTCGTATGTGTGTGTGTGTGTGTTTGTGTGGGTGTGTGTGTGTGTGTGCGTGTGCGTGCGTGTTTGTGCATAATAACTGGAAGCATAGAGTCTGATACATATTTCGTATATTTGATCTCATTTTAATTCTGTATTTACAGACGATCAGTTCGGGACACCAGGCTCCTATAAGGTCTTTGTTGGAAACAAAACAAATCCTATGATACCTTGCAAATACCCGATGGAAGTGCATGGCGATACTATTTCATGCACCTGCAATTCTATTGTAGGACGAAACGTCAAAGTAGAAAATCAAAATAATCGTCACCTCACCCTATGTGAAGTTGGTGTTTATGAAGACTAACACAATGGAAACTGATAATGAAACTGAAGGTATATTTTGAGAAAAATAAAAAAGAGTTCTAAAGAATGTGTTTTATCGGCAATATAATATAATATAATATAATATAATAATAATATAATAATAATATAATATAATATAATAATAATAATAATAATAATAATAATAATAATTATTGTGATAATATTTAATTATAATAGAAATAATAATAATAATAATAAAAATAATAATAATAATAATAGACTAAAAGTACTTATTAAAAATGAATTTATAGATTAATTAATGAATGAGCCAAAAATAGTTTTCATCATAATAACAACGACAGTTTCAAAATAATAAGTACATAACTATTTAAAGGGAGACACAGGCAAAGTTTTCATTTCTTAGTTTTGAATTTTCATTCATTATTCTGTAAATGCCCTCAAAATGAATACCTTATACAGTCAAAGGAACAAAGCTTTTCTCCATATAAAGAATAAAATGGTGGTTTCCTAACTTGACCCGCTTGGGTCATGTTAGAGCGCTAGCATTTCACAATAGTTGTCAATGTGAACTCTGGAACGTTTTTTTTTAAAGAACGTGTCAAATGAATGACTTATGCTTGTTTCAATCATACAATATCCACAATATTTGTTATTGCAACTTCAAGGGTTTGTTCAAGTCACCTGACTTGATTAAAAACTATTGGGTGTTTCTATTGGCGTCTAAATTTTGTTCAACATATATAGATATATTTACGCTTCAAACCCAAAATATATAAAATTTAAACAGAAATTCAAGCTGAATCTTGAAGAGAAGTCATTTTAGCGTGATTTGATCATTTTGATATTTTTGTCATTATTTTGCCTGAATATCCCTTTAAATTTGGCTAGCGAAGAAAGCCATAGCCTCATACAAGATTTTTGAAACCTATCATCCTGCTACTCAATTATTTAATGGTTTTATGTCATAATATGATGCACAAAATTAAGATTTATCAATATTGTAAGTATTGCTCCGCGCCCACAGGCGCGGAGCTATTTGTGTTTACTATTTTTTTTGTCCATGGGCCCGGATTTGAAAGTAAATCCGCATTCAAGAACTCCTTTCGATTTCTATATTGGTTTCCCCTTCGGTGATTCGCAACATGTCAGATTAATAAATCAGAACAGGTAAGCAGTTCTGCTGTACATGAATTCGAAAGCTATAAATAGCTCTAAATGTTCTGATTTTTGACACTTAGGTTATACATTTGTTATTTCCCTTTTTTAGTAGTACATGAAATTATAATTTGTTACATTTTGAATTAATTTACACACAGCATATCAAGTATACTATTAATGATTGAATTTGTCAATATAAAGAAGATTTCATGAATAAAACTTTAATAATTTTGCTTTTGATAATTATTCTTAATTTATATTTATGAAATTAAATGTTTGATAATAACATGTTGATATATTGGTTGTTTTGAAATAATTAAACTTTAGTATATAAAGTTACATTTCATTGGCGTCAGTGATACTTCTCACTTCCCCTCGGAGCGTGCACGTCGCTGAGAAGGAACAGGGCATCGGCAGATGATGGAAGATTCGAGTTATAATCGTTTAAGGAGTTAGCTGCCGGTGTCCTGACTAATGCCGAGGGGAGTGGCCCTACAAAGTAGGCTGAGACGACGAGGATGGTGTACTAGGGTGCGTGAGCCCCTCGTACAGATTGGCGGCTTGTAAGGCAGGCTTATAGCTGGCACCAACAGCCCTTTTCAGGGCTAAAAACACTTCCTATTGTCACAGGTTACTGTACATTTAGGTTCTCATTGACCGCCGTACAGTGACCTACTTTTTGGCTCAAAATTCATATCTTTGGCTAATACTCCGTGGAAATTGCATGGAGGTAAATTATCACCATTTTGTGCTTCAAAATTAACTCTTTAAGGACATGACTGGTGACATGTCCGGGGTCCGTACTCGACAGCGAAAGCTGCATTTTGTGCCCGAGAGGGCGGATGGACCCTCATTAAGCTTTAACTACATACATACATGCGTCAGTGATACAGCACACCACTTAGTGCTTCAAAGTAATCTCATGAGCCCGCTAATCCAATGGTACGAGACCCGTGTCCGTGATCCGTGTCCGGTGCATGTCCATGAATATTATTCCGTGTGTACGTTATATACTTATAGTATAGCGAACAGAGGATGATTATTTGTACAAATGATATAGTTTCATTCAAATACCAAAACCAGTTGTAACATCAAAGAATTAGGTTTGAGAAAAAGGAAAAAGATTGAATACCAGTTAGGTTTTTGAATAACATCTCTTTAGCAACCGAAGACCAGATGTTGTTATTTTAATCTGTCATTGGTGCATCATAAACTTATGGGTTCTCCAACACTATTTTGGTGAGCTTTTTAGTATTTTCTTTCGAAATCGATAAAGTATTTACTTTCGTTCGAGGCATATTGTCCTGACGCGACCTGTCCGTGACTGTCCGCGTCCGTAAAAAAATAGCTCATCCTGCGAAGGGTATGCCACAGCGAAACCTGTATTTTGTGGCCTTACGAGCGGATGGACCCTCATTAAGCATAGGCTATAGATAGATAGCATCATTGATTTGATCTGCATTTTGAACATGAAATGTAATGTTTTTTATGAATGGTTTTAAAGCAATTCAACAATAAAGTATATTGATCTCTAAATAAATCAATTAACAAAAGATTTTTTATATATATATATATCACCAATGTCAAATAGCTTCTATATCTTTGACTCGCACGAACATGATGTTAGCCTGCCTAAAATTCAGGTAACAGTCTTCTATTATATTAATAAATACTTATCACCATGTAACGCGTGTATAACAAACAAAAAAATCCTGAATTTGCTCTTTTTGAAATTCATCCCATTTTTTTTCATTCCAGAGTGTGTTCTACTTTCAGTATTGAAAGAAACCATTTTTTTCTAATTTGACAAGAAAAAAGTGCATGTTATATTAGTATATTATAATATTAGTCCCTTTTGTTACTATTTTTATTTTTGAAATTCATCCCATTTTTTTTCATTCCAGAGTGTGTTCTACTTTCAGTATTGAAAGAAACCATTTTTTTCTAATAAGACAAGAAAAAAGTGCATGTTATATTAGTATATTATAATATTAGTCCCTTTTGTTACTATTTTAATTTTTGTTACAATTATAATAATAAAAAAACAGACTTTGATATTTTTTATCATCTTATGTTACTGACTACAGTAGTGACACAAACAGAACATAGTACAGTCATGTCACATAACATTTACAAGTCTTGTTTGTATTCAATGGAATTACTTTCCTTACCAGGTAGGCATCAGTGAAAGCATTTTTCTTATATTAAATATCTTTCCCCTCTTTTAAATTATGGACAGTGCATAAGATAAGTATAATTATGCAAAAAATGGTTTACAAAACATTCGGAAAAAATCTACAATAGTACTCAATCTGAATATAACATGACCTGTGCATAGGAATAATTTGGTATATATTTGTAATGAGCACATTTTTTGCGCGGAGCTTCTCAATTGCTGCATTGCAGCAACATTTGTACTTGTTTGTAAAGATATTACCAAATTTACATTTCATGTAAAAGAAAGGGAGGTACTTAGATTTTTTTTCGATGAAATTTAAGCCAAATGTTTCAATTAGAAATAATTGCATTATAATGCGAATAAACATTTGCAGTACATATTTAACATATTCTTGGATGTTTAGAAATTGTTTAAGAATAATAATTTCATACATGTATAAAATTTCCCTGAAAGACCCTGTAACTCAATTTTTTATAGTATGATGGTTTCAAATGAAGATAGTTCCAAAAAAGCATTTCTTGTAAAGATATTACCGAATTTACATTTCATGTAAATAAAGTGAGGTTATTAGAAATATTTTTTTCTCTCGATAAAGTCTTAATATTTTAATAATTGCTTATAATGCGAACAAACATTTGCAGTACATATTTAACATATTCTTGGATGTTTGGAAATTGTTTTAGAAGAATAATTACATATATATGTAAAATTTCACTTAAATGTTGTTACATCCTTAATTACAACATACAGGGCCTTTAAGTGTTGTTACATCCTTAATTACATCATACAGGGCCTTAAAGTGTTGTTACATCCTTAATTACAACATACAGGGCCTTTAATGATGCGCACATTAAGTTTTTAAAATTGAATACATCCTCTATGATCCCTAATGAACAGACTCAATCAATGTTGTCATTGATTCCGGAAGAGTTCTTTTGGTTCTCGCTACAGTCATCATAACCAACGTCATCATCAAAGCTACCAGCACCACTACCATAATCACCATAATCATTACAACAAGCCATGTTACCATCACCATCATTATTATCATCACCAACACTTTCTTTAACGTCACTATCATTATTAAAACGACATCAACCACCACCATCATCATCATCATCATTATCACAACAATCAACATCGTCACGATAGCTTTTAACGACTATCATCACCAACCCCGCCATTATAATCATCATCATCATAATCGCGATCTTCAACATCATCATTGTCATCACCAATATCATCATCATCATCACTATTGTCACGATAGCTTTAAACGACCATCATCACCAACACCGTCACTGTAATTATCATCATCATCATCATAATCGCGAGAAGTATATCAATATTTTATTTATTTGTTACAGGTCTTAAGCCAGACACCCTTTACCTCTGGAGTGTCAAAATCCAACGGTCACTTTCACCGATGAAGAAAAGACACAAGAAAGATAAAAAAATAATATGGTTTTAATGACAAAGAACACAATGATGTTGTTGTTGATAATGATGGTTGTAATGAAAATGTTGTTGTTGATTTTTGTTGTTGTTGTTGATAATGATGGTCGTAATATAAAATGTTTTTGTTGTTGTTTTTGTTAATAATGATGGCCATAAGGTTAATGTTGTTGTTTTATTGTGGAATATGGTGACCGTAATAAAAATGTTGTGTTGTTTTTGCTGTTGATAAAGGTGGTGGTAATGAAACAGTTATTTTAGTTCCCCACAAGGGGTGGGTGGGGGGGGGGGCGTGAC